ACCAAAGAAAAACCCAGAAGAGCAAATGAGGAATTGTTGCCATTTGGGTCTATCAGTTAGTGAAATTCCAAACAAAAACCTCGCTTGATCCTCATTCTTCATCTCTTTCCTCTTCCCTTAAATCCCTCAAAACTCTAACAAACAAAATAATTAAAACGAAAATGGAACTTGAAAAATCAATAGCCCAATAGTTGCATGGTCTCACTCTCCATTTTTTTTTTAAAAAAAAAGGCAGACCCAACACACAAACAAAAGAGTGAAAAGATTCAGTTCACTTCGCAACACAAGAAAAGAATAAGAATTTGGCTTAGACTTGTTATACAATTTACCTCTATATTTTTCTCTTTCCTTTTTTTGGGTTTAAAAAGTTGGCTTAATTCTGGTAACTGAGGCCTTAAAAGCGGGAGGAAATATGGGAAGAAAGGTTTTTGAAACAAAGTTTACGTGACTGTATCTATGGACTCTTTGAAGCGTTACTAGATTTTCGTGGGGTTAATAATTTTGTGGGTATTAAATGAATTATTTATTACCATATTATCGTATTTACTCCTATAAATAGTTTTGAATAGTCAAATAATTTTCTTTATCACTAATACTTGCATTATGGTAGGTTGTATACGTCACATCCACTGGGATGCGGTTTTTCCCGAACTTTGTGTGAACGCGAGATATCTTATGCACCATACTGCCTTTTTATTAAGAGAATAACTACAATAATTATTAAGCCTAAAACTAATTGATATCAACTATATTATTCCTTGTTGTCGATATCCTTTATCTAGACTAGTTTTACGCTTGTTGACTTTCAATTCGTCGCAACTTGATCTCCTCTGTTATGAGAGTTAACAGAGACAATGTTACTGTTAATCAAGTTCCTAATACCGAAAGTTTTTTCTAAAAAAAATTAAATTTACATTAGTACTTTGAATTTAGTCATTTTATTTCTGGGGAGGGAGGGAGTAGCAGTAAATGAAAATTTGGTAAACTGATTTTTCTGCTTGTCAATATGTGAGGCTATTCCGTGGTTGGCTTTTTAGTCAGCTACAAGATTGACTTTTGGTTTTTCTTTTTCATTTTCCCTATGTATTGAACTTTTAAGCACAAATTTAATAAAACTAGAATATAAGCAATAAAAATAACTCCAATTTTGGACTTTAGAATAAGAAAAGAAAAATCAGATTGAAAAGGTCATTTCACATTTGGTCACCGTATTGGTAATTTGAGGAAGTAATTTGGGTACGTCCTCCAACTGAATTCAGTAGTTTGTTGACCATTGCTAATCGATTTGAATAAAAATACAATGTAATTCCTTACTTTATGATCTGACCAACTAACTGAAAATTTACTCGGCTATTAAACTATAATGGAAAAATAAAATTTATGTATATTATGTTTATTAGGCTTGTAACTCTAAAGATTTGCCCTTATTTTGGCAGGATAAAAAGGTCGCACTTAAAACAAATTGAAGGGAATATTTTTATCTCTTAGTAGGTCAACTCGAAATGTAGTTGAATTAGTTGGATCAAAATGTTTTGAGTACCAAATACAACAACAACAACAACATATTCAGTGTGATCTTACAAGTGAGTTTTAGAAAGGATGCAATATATGCACATCTTATCCTTACTTTGTGTTAGATAGACTATTTCCGATAGCATCAAATATATATAAAAAAAATCGCAAGTTTATGCATTCTAGGTTCCTCACTTTATCATTTGCTAACCAAAGACAGATGCATTATCTGGTATTAAATTCATCTGAATTTATTATTTTTGACGTGTAACACAAATTTATATATAAAAATTCTTATAATTTTAACAAATATTATATATAAATACGTCACTTTAAAAATATAACGAATTCAATGTTAAATATCTTAAATATTAAACCTATAAAGCTTAAATTCTGGATCTTTTAACTTTGTTGATAACTCAAGTTTTCTTGTCACATACAATATTATATTACTTACTCATAATGTCTCAAGTCATTTTCTGTCGCGGTGGTTGTCTTATTACTTGGAACTTGTTCATTTTATCAGCAGAATTTGTATGTCTCTTTCTTGGGGTCTAGGGAGCAATGTGCGTAAGTTCAGGGGCATTACTTCATTCAAATTTTGGCATTTTTTCCATGTATGGTGTGTCATGGCTTTGTAGCGGTCACATACATCACATTCTAGTAATGCCATACAAATGTTGTGCAATTCTAGTCCTATTACAGGCAACTCTAATCAAGCTATATGATGTATCGAAACTAGGAGTTAAAATTACAATAATTAAAGTGGAGTTTTCAAATATAGACTTTTGATAAGAGTAATTTTGTCCTAAAAAAAAATTAGTTTTCTGCTTCTAGGAAGAGTTACTTTTTTTTATTCAAAAACTATTTCTGTTATTGTTCAATCACTAGTTCTTTTTCCACAAGTTTTACAAAATTTACCTTGACTCTCCAATATAATTATATTCTTTTGAAGGATAATCACTTCTAATTTCCAGGAACTAATTAGCCAAACAATTGCAGTTAACTTAAAGATTTGCACTGAGCAAGGACTAGTGCAATTCTTGTCATTTTCAAGCATCTCTAGTCAAGCTATATGATTGTATGAGAAGAGCCTTAATTATTGTAAGAAAAATAGTTTGTGTTGAGAAACTTTTTAAAAAGCACTTTTGAGCGTCTAGCCGATTCCTTGAAAAATTAGAATTGCTTATTATTTAAAAGAGTTATTCATTTTAGAGAGTTCAAATGCTCGACTAAACATGCTATTAAAATATATCTGGTAACTAGCCGAGTCTTTGCTGTCAGAAGAGATAGACTACAGTGAAACACCCAAAAATATTACAGTATATAAGATTAATCTAATCCTTAACAGAATTACAAGATAAAAGTAATTGTTCATCTTATTAAGGTGTGTTTTCCTGTTATTCATTTTAAAGGTCGTAATACACAAGGGCGGATGGAGAGTATAACTTACGGGTTCGACCGAACACAGGAAGACAATGATTAAAACTGCTCATATTCATTTCATTAATGTTGGCAGTCATGGTATTTACAAGAAAAGAAGTGAAAGAATCATAATTACTAAGGTCAACTGGCTGAAGAATGTATAGCCCCTTCTGAAGCTTACCAAGAACCAGTGACTTCTTCAGAAAAGGGCCCTGCAGTAGAGCACAAGCATAATGAGTAAAGAAAGCATTACATCTAAGTTGTACCGACAACTGATAAAAATAAATGAGATTATAGTGAAAGGAGGGAACAAGTAAGACATCAGGAAGAAACATGGTGGCAAAAAGGAAAAGAGTACCAGTACAGGTTACTTTAACCTTATAACCATTAGGGAGTGTTACAAGATAGGGTAAGGGCAGAGGTTTAATATCAGTGAGTAATATTGCGTGAGGAGTCATATGATTAGTTGCACCTGAGTCTATAATCCAAAAATTGTCTTCTACTCTAGACAAATTGCAAGTATGAAAACCACAATTATCAACAACAGTATTAGCTATCAAACTTGCAAAGTTAGCTGAAACAGACGTAGTATCCTGAGTAGTGGATGAGAACTTGAATTGTTGAAGTAGAGTTAGCAGCTGATCATACAGCTCCTTTGTCAAAATATTCCCTCCAATGTCAAGTGGGATTGCTTTAGATCCTTTAGAACTAGAATTATCAGGCTGCCCCATGTTGGTTGAGTATGACACATGAGCATAAGCTGCACACCTCTTGAATTTAGCTCCAAATCCAGAGGGATACCCATAGTTTGTAACTTTTATCAATGAGATGTCCTGGTTTCTTACAGTATCTACACACCAAATTGGAGTTGCCCCTCTTTGTGGATTCAAAATTTACCCTTGAATTGAAAGGCTTCTGAGTAGTAGCCTCTAAATTGTAAGTAGAGCTGAAGGGCTTCTGAACTCCAGTAGCAAAAGAAGCAGAGTCTGAAACAAAAGCTGGATTGGAAGGCTGACTCTCAACCTGACTCTCATTTTCTATAAGCATTGCATATACACCATCAATATCAGGCAAGGGCTTCATGAGCAAGATATTTCTTCTAACTCCAGTATAAGTCTCATTTAACCCCATTAGGAACTGGTGAACCTTCTTGTTACACCCCGTACTTTAATATTAGGATAAGTTGTAGTAATCCATATGAGCTTGAAGGGATTAACACAATTAATAAGATTATAGAAGATTTGTGACTATAAGACCCCATAATTTTAACAACCTTGATACCGTTATATACATTTGATATAGTATTTTGAGTGGAGTATTTTTGTAAAACAGTTTGAAAAATATAATTTTATATAGTTATTAATATTACTACTTTCAATTACACACATAATATGAGAAAGTTTATGAGATTTTCTTTATTGTAAAGATAGAAATTATTTTCTCACAAGAAAATAAAGTTATCTTTTTACCATTTTAAGAATTAAGTGTACGAAAATTTTACTCTTTATATGAGATTAAGAAAATTATAAGTTGAGAAAATATATGTATTTTTGCATGGATATTTTAATGAAATAATAGTGTATGTATTTATTTATATAGTACCATATGACCATGATAGTATGATTTATAAAGTATATAAAAAATAAGTAAAATTTTAAATAATTTGAGATAATTCTTAATTATATAGATAATTGGGGTAATTAATGATATTTGGTGAAAGATTAACTAATTAATTAAGGTCTTTGGGATAAAGATTAACGTGGCAGCCATATAAGATTAGTTAAGATGACTCTTAAAGTCCTATTAGTATGTGGCAAAGTCTTAGTCATTCCATTTAATAAAGAAGAGTCATATATTAATATTCATTGGAAGTATGGTGTCAGTTATGAAGGATGTAAGGGCAAGTTCCCAGGTCTTTGACTATAGGTATTGAATATTTCCATCTCTCTTAAGCTTTTATCAAAACTGGTGTTATATGGAAGTTCTCAACTAAGTTAAATTCTTTTCACGACTGTGCATAGTGTATTCTGCTGCCATTTTTAGTTCAAGTCAGATGCTTATGTTCATCGATGATACAACTGATGAGATCGCTTATTGTTATTGGCATCTGATAAGTGCTCAAACTCATAAAGTGCTCCTCTACTTTTGGTGTACTTGCTACGCAATTCCGTCTTCTTCTGCTTGTCACACCAGCTTGGTTTTGTTTGTGTTATTAACGTAAGTCACATGAGCAAGATAAGATCTTCAACAATTCAAAGCAATGTGCGATTTTGTGATTATAAGGGAGTATGGTGTAACCTCTTTCAAAAATATCATACGGATTTTCCTCCTACTCCAAGTATGTTAAGGCTATCCCTTTTTTCTTTTGGCATGATCCAAGTAACGATACTTAAACGTAATGCTATTCCATAAGTGGTTCTACTCTTAGCAGTTAAGGATGTCTATGTTATTCATTCCCGTAAAGTGATATTCAAGCATGTCTAAATATGTATCTAGTTCCCTATTGAGGTATTTGATAAAGATGTTAATGTTTTTAATATAGTGATACATGCATCTTCATGCATTTACCACCGTGCTACGGCCGATCGGGCAGTTACCACCGGTTGGGCAGCTATGTATCATCGTTTACCACCAGTTGGGCAGCTATGTATCATCATTTACCACCGGTTGGGCAGTTATGTATCATTATTTACCGCCGGTTGGGCAGATATGCATATTCATTTACCACCAAGCTACGACCGGTCGGACAATCATGCATTTACCATCGAGTTACGGCCGGTTGGGCAGTTACATATTTACCACCGAGCTACGGCCAGTCATGTATTTACCACCGCGTTACGGACGGTCGGACAGTTACCACTGATCAGTTGGGCAGTCATGCATCATACGATATGGATAATAGAAACAGTCTCAAAGAGAAGCATTAAATATATAAGTATGATAAGTATGTATATATGGTGGCACTTCAGAGATTCAGGTTGATTCTTATATGTCTTTAATTAATGTTGACTTATTGTTATGTTTCAGTTCTGTTTTACATACTTAGTACATTATTTGTACTGACGTCCTTTTGTTGGGGACGCTGCATTCATGCCTGCATGTATAAATAATCAGTTTGACGAGCCCTCATAGTAGACGAGATTGGCATTCAACGAAGGATCGGTAAGACTCCACCTCATTCGGAGTGCATCCGAGTCTATGAGTCATCGTGTCAGAATTTTGCTACAGACTTATGGGTAGGCCGGTACCCTATCCCATTTGATGTCAAATAATCTTAGAGGCTTTATAGATAGGAGTTCATTTTGTACAGTATGTCAGAGGCCTTGACGACCCATATGTATTCATGTTTTAAGAAAAATGGTTCAGTGATACAGTGTTACCCACTTATAGTTATATATTAAGTGTTACCCACTTATAGTTATACATTATGAGTTGTGGCCATGTTGGCCCATGATAGTTACAAAAGGAATGAGTTCAGCCAATTCGACCTATGTATGTTTTAATTTTGGTCGATTGATCATGAGTTACAGAGTGGTTCGCTCGGGCCAGCTCGGCACCGGGTGCCAGCCACGCCTCCCCAGGTTTGGGGCGTGACACTTCTGTTCTTCTATATTTTGAAATGCTTCCTTACACCCACAAGTGCAGTCTAGATATAAAATAGAGTATGCTAATTCATCCCTGAGTTTTTTAATACGGTTAAAATAAGATGCAATGCCAGAGGACCTTTGGGAGATGGATGCAAGATCCTTTCTAATTTGAAACACCTTAGTACCATTTGCCTTGTTATAACGTTGTTCATGCCATAGTTTTTGTGCAGACTCAGTATACATTACACTCTCTCTAATTTTTGTATCCAGGCTATTTGATATCCAAACAGTAACCATATCGTTACAACGAACCCATGGTTCAAATAGAACAGAATTTGCTCTAGGTTTAGGGATGGTTCCATTTATAATTCCTAACTTGTTTTTACATGACAAACCAATTAGCATACTTCGTCTCCATCCTCCATACCCCGTCCCATTAAAACACTTCGTAACTAAAACTGTATCAGGGAAATCAGAAGAATATAGGTACACAGGATGTGACGGCTCAACAGTACTAGAAGACATACTAGATGAAGTAGTAGTAGTAACATTTGAAGGATCAATATTAGGAGCCATAGCAAAACATACTTTGAGAAAATTAGGGTTCAGAAATTCACCAAACCAGAAATCACTCGAACACAGTTCTAATCGGAAGAAAATTACCAATTTTCCGTGAAATTGGAAAGCAATAACCTTCAATGGCAAGATAAAAACCTCCGCCTCCGAGCTTCACCGGAAAAGCACACTGAATCAGCACAACACCGTCGTCGAAAGACAAAAACTTTAGAAACATATAGGAGTAACATCGATCCACCGGAAAACACGTGAGCTACGTCATTCTTGGCTCTGATACCATGAACACTTACAGATTCTTCACAATGCACAAGCTTAGAAAAGGAAACCTAGAAGCTTCTATGAGCTGAGAGAAACGAGAGTAAAGGAAAATGCTTTATTATCCGAAAAGAATGAAATTCAGTCTGTACAAAATAATGAGAAATGTTCTATTTATATTATTTACAAATGAATCGGGTCGGATCAGTTTAATAAATAACTGTACGGTTTAACTATGGGCTGGTAGCTTTGGGCTTCTTCCCTTCATTCTCTTAATGACTTTAACAATTATTCAATTTAGACCCCAGTAACTTAAAAGATTTAGAATTCTGAACCCATAAGTTTCAAATCCTGACTCCGCCTCTGCCACTAATACACCATTTTCAAATATGTTATGTTGCAATTTATGGCGAACCAAGAATGCTGCAAAGGATGTTTAAAATTTAATATATATTTATAACAAATAATTTTTGATTTATATACATAATATAATATTCTATATACTCAGTATAATTTTTCGATCAATAGTGACTTTTCATGACTTTTATTTACATGTCCAGAAAGTGTAAAAATCAAAAGAAAGGAAGGAAAAATGGGTAGCTAGCAATTATCTGTTCATCTTACTTCGGAAGCAATGCAAGATATCTGAACTCTCCATCTTATTTTAGTATCATGCACTATTAATAAAACTGTATAAAATTAAAATATGTCTGAGGTTAGGCATCAGCTTAAGTTGGGTAATTTGCAAGTTCTAAGTAAGTATAACTTAAAAAGATTAGAAGAATTAGGAAGGGGGAATATGATCCTTAGTTAATTTGCACTTTGCCACTATCTGAAGCTTAAGAGCCAAAAGTCATTCGTAGTATGCAATCTAAGAATCTAACAAATATTAGGGACATTCATAGCAAAAAGGAAAATTTACACATCTTCTGTTGCACGTCTACAATCTGCATTTGCTTTTAAATTGTAGACCTATGTCAGTGGAAACCAAATTCAAAAGAAAGGTCAAATACACTTTTCCTCCCTTCCCTTTTCACTTGATACAAAAAGACCCTTACATTTCAATATACAGTACTTCTGACCCCCCTTATCCAAATTGGGATTAATTATTCCAGGCTATTAACCAAACGATCCCTAAGNGGGTTGCAGAAATTTGACAATAATTGATGCTTGCTTCCATTTGTTTTTTTGTGTTTCTTATGTAGGGAAGTCAAATTGTTTTGTTGGAATATTTAATTTAAAATAAAGTGTTCATTAGTCCAAACTAGACGAGCGATGTATCATAGAGTTTTCACGAGTTGATTAGTCTTAGTTGAGTTAGATTCATTTTTGGATTTAACTTTCACTTCTCTTGAAAAATAAAGGCACACAATTTGGTGCGATTGGAGGCAATGCGTGTTGTAATACAATAATATGTTGTTTGTTGAAGGGTTACTTGGATTATTGTAACAAGAGAAGGTCGCAAACCTCTACATAAATAGCGGTCGAATTTAATGTTTATTTTTTCTATTCAGTATACATAGATTATACAATAATTAGGCATCATTATACATAAATCATAAATATATAATACATCAACCGGCTATTTTAAGTTTAAGCGCTTGGGTAGATGACTATTTAAGTTAATTGTTCTCTGTGGTCGTACACATTGATTAGTTTGGACTTTAGATGGAGTACCATATTATTTCATCTAAATAGTTGGTGGAAGTAATGAGCAAAGAAAGATCTTAGATACATTAATATGTTATTTCCTATCTAACATTCTTATTTTTGCATGCAAATGAGATTGTTAACTTCCACCATCTGTTAAGATTATTGGATGAAGAAAGACATTAGATACTAACAATGATCAACTAGAATTTAGCATAACTTGATCCAGAAAGTACAACAAAAGTTCTCTTCTAATTCAACATTTCACCATCCCTTCTTTCTCTAAGGAAGAGAAAGAAAAGAATGAGTTCAACACTAACAGCTCCAATTCAAAACTCATGTAGCCCATTTCTCAAGGTGGTCTCAGTCATTCTGGCTAGCCATTTTCTGCCGGCAACTGAATGACAAAAACAACCTTTAGAAATGAGCATAAAAGGCGTGTATTAAGCTCCCGCTATGCGCGGGATCCAGGGAAGAGCCAGACCACAAGGGTCTATTGTACGCAGTCTTACCCTGCGTTTTTGCAAGATGCTGTTTCCACGGCTCAAACCTGCGACCTTCTGGTCACATGGCAATAATTTTACCAGTTAAATCAAGGCTTCCCTCCAAGAAAATTGAGCATATGCTTCTATATTTCCCCTAACTCTCCTGTTAACTATGTTATGTTATTACCATTCTACTGCACTGCACCTAAAGATTTGCTAGCTGAAGATGATATCAAGCAAGAGCTCATTCATCAAAGATGCAAAGACTTCAATTTCCAACTCCAAAATCACTTCTTGCTTCTCTAAATCTGTGTTCTTCCACTCGCCTCGGCTTTCAATGTCCCGAATATAAGCCATCCTGTTTTCTCGCACCTTCCAATCTAACAGTACCTCAATTGGTTTCCCATTTATCCAATCTTTTGCTACTTGCAACAGCTTGTTATTGAGTGCATCACCTTTTGTTAGCTCTTCTGAATGTTCACTGGCATTGAGAATTCTCCCTTTAAAGAAATCCAACAGTAATTCCTCTGCCTTTAGTTTCATGTTATAAGATGGCAATGAGGCTTTCAATTCTTGAACCAAATCTAATGCTCTGCTTTCAACTGTCTGTTTGTCCTCTTCTTTTTCTTGTTCCTCAACTTCAGTTTCTGAGGTATTTGTGAGTGGGGATTCACTCTCTGATTCTGAGGATACAATTCGTTTCTCTAAGTTTAGTGGTTCCAGTTGAGTGAGACACTCGAACCTTTGGATTTTCTTCATGAGTTTTTTGGTAGTTCCTGTTACAAAAATATTTAAGATTTTCTGTTAGAAGGGAATAAATTTTGCATTATTCTGTAACACAAATTGATTAGGGATTTACCTTCCACACGAGCTAATCTATGCTGGAAAGGTGACGAGACCTCGTCTTCATCACCAAATGGACAATCCAGTATAGACACTGGACTACACTGTTCTTTTTCTTCATTTGGCCAATGTTTCTGCACATAACAATGACAATTAAGAAATCTTTGAGGATTATTTTGAACATTAAACGTGTACAATATCAAATATTGAATGCGAAAAATATTACTCCATTTGTCTCAAGTTACGTGATACTTTTCGTTTTCAAGATTCAATTTCTTAATTTTGACATGCATTTTGATATTTTTTGTTTTTTGAAATAAAAATTACATATTTGAAAACTACGTAAAAAAATACTACTATAAGTTACAATAATAAATAATTTAAAATATTTAAAAGGTATATGAAAAAATATCGGGGTCAAAATAATAATTCATTTGACTCTTGAAATCTAAACGCTTTCACATAAATTTGAACGGAGGGAGTACTATAGCTACATTTTTTTAGTTATAAAACAATGGAAGATAAAATAAAAAGAAATGATCAAACAAGTAGGGGGCTACAGATCCAGCATATCTCTTATTATTGATTTTGTTCAGTTGTTCTCCAGGCAAGACTAACCCGTATGGCCCCCTACCCTTAGATATAATGTCAATAAATTACATAAATGTTGTGTCAATAGAGTTCAGACACTTGAATTTTGATAGTTCCACTTCAATGGGACTGTCTGGCATCAGTGAGAATGCGTGACTGGGGAAATCTCACTTTCTAAAAAAAAAAAAAAAAAAAAAAAAAAAAAAAAAAATCTATTTTCACAGATTCGAGCCGTGAAAGCAGGCTACTAATGCTTGTATTAGAATACACTGTCTAGATTATATCCCCAAGGATGTAGCCCTTTTTCGAACCTTACGTAAACACAAAATATTTTATGCATCGGAGTGTATATTTTTTTTCCAGAATATAATTAATATTAGTAGTACTTTAAAATAGATTAAAATTTTGGTGTCTGAGATTTAAAAAGTTCCCAATCTCCTGAGTAATATCTTGAAAAGGGTGTAAATAAATAGTGCACATAGGAAAGATGTGGTCAAGCTTTGTTATTAGGAAGTCAACTATTCTCCAGGGATGTTTCTACCGTAAGCAAATGGACACAAACTCCTAAGACAATTTCGAATTCGTCATAAGTCAACTTCACTACTAGACAAAGTATGTGACTTGTGTCTACCCATATTTATATTATTTTCAAATCCCTAACTAAAATGTTTTTTTTTTGGTTTCTCTATCGGTGTTCGGTACTCGTATTGGAGCATGACTATATTCGGATTTGCGCCGTATAGGGCCTCATTCGAGGGGTAGCGCTCCCTATCATAATTTTTCCGTACTCATAATTCGAACCCGAGACCTCTAATTAAGAGAGCAACAGTCTCATCCACTTCACCACATCATTTAGTGTTACTAAAACGTTATTTTATATTGAGTCCCAACTAATATGATATCGTTTATAGAAGTTCTTATTATAAGGAAAAGCACATAACCAATATTTGAGCTACCTAGCGTAAAGATAGACGGTGAAATGGAAATATTAATGTTCCCACATGCTAATAAATATTAATGTTTGTAGCAGTTATACGTCCAAACAAACCAAACTATCTATCACCTTTTTCCTCTTTCCTTTTACGCGCAAGGATATGCAAGTTTTTTAAAACATACCCTACACACGACCGACACAAGTTCAATGTGATAGAAATCACATCTTCTCATATTTTAGCT